GAGCGGTGACACGAGGCGCAGGGGGCCAGGCACACCCACGGACCCGCAGTGCACGTGGGGGCCGGCCGCGGTGGTGACATCCCCGGGGCTCTTACCCATGCTCCGTGGCACAGAGCGAGCGCAGGCTGAGGTACCAGCTGCCCGTCTGGGGGTAGGGGATCCGCAGGCGGCTGAGGCTGGCCGTGGCGTTAACGGAGAGCAGGAATCCTGCCAGGGACTCTGTGGGCAGGGAGGGCTCTGCGTGAGCAGGGCAGGGGGGAGACCCTTCCCCTGGGCAGTCTGGGACAAGGACAGAGCACCCTGTGCCAGGCTCCATGGGTAGATGCACCCATGGTCTCTGCCATCTCCCACCCAGCCCCTCACCGGACACATGGGGGGTACGATCCCCATGGCCACGGCAGGATGGACGTGCACAGCCCAGCCTACCTGTCTCGCAGGTGACCGATGCGTTGTCACCAGATGTCAGCGGGACTTCGTGATTCAGACACCCGAACACTGTCACGTTCTCGCCACACAGGGAGCTCTGACAGCAGAGGAGGAGATGGACCTAAGCCAGTGCTGGGGATGTCCCCTGCTCTGACAGCACCCAGATCACAGCACACCACCTGGCACTGCCCTATACCACTGCCCATCACCCAGCGTCACCCCAAATCCAGGCCATCACCCTGTCCTTGGAACACCCTAATCTGTGCTCCATCACTCAACAACACCCCAAATCCAGGCCATCACCCTGCCCTTGGAACACCCTAATCTGTGCTCCATCACCCAAGAGCTCCCAAACCATGACCCATGACCCAAGAGCACCCCAAATGCTGTCCCTCACCCTGACACCACCCACCTCCCAGCCCATCCCCTCCGGGCTGCCCTGCCCCATCCAGGGCACAGTGTGTGCACCTTACCACATTGAGCCGCAGCTCCAGGTTGAGCACCCCACCACTATCCAGCACCGGCAGGAGGTTGATGACGAAGACAGCGGGGCGGTCGGGTGGTACTGACACGTTGGGCCCAAAGAAGATGTAGAAGTGGACGGAGAAGGTGTCCAGTTCATTGCGCAGTGTGGGGCGGACTGGCCAGCACCGCTCGCCAGCAGGTGAGGCGGTGGGGACAGGGACCGGGTGCTTCGTGCCATTGGGGCTGGCGGGCGGAGGGCTGTCCCCCAGCGCCAGCCCACCCGCAGAGCCGAAGGAGTGGGGCATGTTCATGGAGGCACTGGAGGGCAGGAAGGGTGGCCGGGCCAAGCTGGGTCGTGAGCAATCTGGGGGCAGAGTCATCAGCCTGGGCACCGCACAGCCCCTCCAGCCCCCTTTTAGCCCTCACCTGCCCTGCTTGCCCACCGCTCATCTCCATCTGCAGGCCATCCCCAACACCTCCTGGCATCCCCACCCCAGCAGAGCTGGGTACCGCTCTGCGCCCAGCTGGGGCCAGATCCTGCAGGCATCCTTTACCCCTCCACCAGCCACCCAAGCAGAGTCAATACCATGCCCCCCACCCATATCTCTTCATGCTCACCTGTGAGCTCCACGGTGACCTGGAAGGAGACAGTGCCTGGCACCCCGGGGTGCTTCTCCACCAGCACATAGTACCAGTGCTGCCAGAAGGGCAGGTCCAGTGCGAGCTGGCAGGGAGCGTGCTCCCGGCAGTCCAGCGCTGTGGAGTTGTGCAAAGGGGGAGCCTTGGCCCGCACACGCAGCCAGAGCGGGCAGCCCTCGGCCCCGTGGCACCGCAGCACCTCCACCAGCACTCGTGATGTGTAGCTGGGCACAAACACCCTGCGGGACAGTGGTGTCAGATCTTGCCCCTCAGCGGGACCAATGGGGCTGGGAGGCAAGCCAGAGGGATGGGGCACCCTAAGCTCCCCGCCCTGGGGATGCCCCTCCTTAGGAGACCCTCTTGTACTCACTTGTAGAGGCAGGAGCGGTTGTGGGGGCCCATGCTCTGCTCGGTGACATATCCAGGGTACAGCACAGCAATGTTCACCAGGCGCTGCACAATGAGCTGTGGCTGGAAGAGATACTGGCACTCCTCGTAGAGCCCCTGCACCAGCAGGACAGTCAGCACGGGCCAGGGGGCAATGGACACTGTCCCTTCTTGGGACATCTGCCCCGGGCGCTGCCAGCCCGGGACAGTCGGACTCCAGCAGAGTCCTGCAGTGACCCCTGCCACCCAACGGTCCCTCCCAAGCCCTTCACCTTGACGGAGATCTTGCCCTCATCTTTGGGCAGGTGGGCAGCCAGGAACCAGTCCCCGGGCAGGGGGCTGGTGACGTTGAACACCCCCGTGGTGCGGTTGGGCAGGGTCCAGGTGAGGGTCAGTGCAAAGGAGCCAGGGACAGCCGTGTCCCTGGGGAAGTGCGTGTGCAGCGGGTTAATGACGGAGGGAGCCCCTGAGCGGAAATACCTGCAGGAGAGACAGCAGTTAGCAGGGCGCAGGCTGGGCATCGTGGCAGGCCCTACACGTGGCGGTCTGTCCTCCACGCTGTTAGGAAGCTCAGAGGCATCTTGGGAAGCCATCTGTAGACTGGGACCTTGCTGGAGGCTGTGGGCTTCCCTGGGTGGGTGTTGAAGCAAAACTGTTCATGTATGAGATGCACAGAAGAGTGGAGCCTGCAACGGTCCTGGAAAGATGAATCATGGGGAGTGAGCGTGCATGTCTGTGTGTACGTACAGGCACGTGTACACGCATCTGTGCACACACGTGTGCCCATGTATGCATGTGTGTGTATGTATGTGTGCCTGCAGGTACATATATGCACATGTGCACGTGCAAGCAAGCAGCAGACAAGAGCAGGCAGCCTCCAGAGTAAGTCCGGGCAGCAGGCAGCAGGGGCAGGCAGAGGCAGGCAGGAAGGGAACAGGCAGGGCAGGTTGCTTACTCACACGGTGATGCTACGGTCTGGGCATTGATCCCCAAAGGTGCCACCCTGCTCTTTGAAGGTGATGAGGTTCCAGACGGCTATGACTGTGTCCTCAGGGATGTGGAAGTGGAAGAGCTCAATGCTGGCAAAAGAGCGGAAGGGGCTGAGCTTGCGTGGTGTGCGGGTGAAGTAGTCGGTGACGAAGAGCCCATCTGCAGAGGAGACCCAAGGCGCTTTCAGTGGAGCTGGGGATCGGGGGGTTGCAGCACCCCTCCCAGGCCAGGCCTATCTGCCCAGGCCCTGAACGTGCCCCAAAATGGGCAGCCCACAGGCAGGAGGGGCTGGGGCCATGCCATCTCAGTGTGTCCCCAGGGCTGATGTCAGCTGTGCCCAGCTGCGACTCCCAGCCCTGGCCCAGTCTGCACCGTGCCTTGTTCAACTTTGCCTTGAGCCCAGTTCCACGAGCTCCTCTGGAGCCTGGGGAGCCCTCAGCCCTGGCTGCTCAGGCTCTGCCCAGGTGTAGCCCATCTCTTTCAATTAATCTTCCTCTTCAGTGAGGACCTGCTCCCCGCATTTTACCAGCTGTGACATGGCTCCAGCCCTGCCCCGGTAGGTCAGCTCCCACAGGGACACACAGATACCCCCCATCTCTGCCTGCCGAGGAGGCTCAGCTCGGAGCCCCTCATAAATCGCAGAGTCCCCCCACCCCAGAGCCCCGAGAAGAGGGAGCGAGCAGTGCAGCTCCTGCACAGCCCCCCAGCTCTCCCATGGTTTGTGGAGAAGGAATGGTGCACATATGTGTGCGCATATGCACTCGTGGGTGCTGTCTGTGTGCACAGCAAAGTGGAGGCGTGCACACCCACATGCGTAGGAGCGCGTGGCTGTGCACAGCCCCATGCCTGCAAGACGCTTCCTTGCAAGCCCACGGCACTCACTGGGGCCACTGCTCCCCGTCCAACTGTCTGACAGTTTGATTTCCAGGGATTTCCACAACACCCAGCAGCAGAGGGGCAGACACTTCCTTTGCACAGTAGAGACAAGGGAGACCTAGACTCCAGACAGCAGCAGTAACCTCATCCTACCATCGCCATAATTCCCCAGTGCCAGCCTGGAAGACCCATACATTATTCCCCAGAGATGCACCAAGGAAGAGATGTACCTCCACACACGCTGCCGGCAAGGGGGACACCAGCAGAGGATGGTCTGGGACCAGGACTGTGCCCAGGAGGACACGTCCAGTGGGAAGTGCGATAGCTGAGAAGAAGGGCTGGTTTGCACAGCTTGCGCCTGGCCGGGGGTGCGCGCATGTGCTTGTGTGCACGTGTGTTTTTGCTGCGTGTGTGTGCAGCCCCAGCTGGCTGTACACTGACATGCATCTGCTCCCTTGCCTGGAACAAAGGCAGCTCCCCCTCCCCTTCACTGACACCCAATGAAATACCTGCCTCAGTGCAAGAGCATCTGATCCCGATTTCCCCGTCACGAACCACCAAGCCACACCACAGCTCACCTCCCCACGTGGGGACAGTGACCTGGCAGGGGACCCCAGGGAGCAGAGCGTGTTGAACGCAACTCCAGAAGGTGGCAATGGGGGGAAGCGTTCGGAGCTTCCCAGTCCCAGCACGGTTCCCCACGCCCGGTCACACAGGGCAAGGTGGGGGCAGCTGGCTGTGGGCAGAGGGTCAGGCTGAAGCCCCGTGGTGGTGTGGCCAGAGCACGAAGGGGTTGCTGGAGGATGGAGCGGGGGGGGAAGCGTTCGGAGCTTCCCAGTCCCAGCACGGTTCCCCACGCCCGGTCACACAGGGCAAGGTGGGGGCAGCTGGCTGTGGGCAGAGGGTCAGGCTGAAGCCCCGTGGTGGTGTGGCCAGAGCACGAAGGGGTTGCTGGAGGATGGAGCGGGATGTCCTACCCACGGAGTGGGGGCGGGGGGGCGGGGGGAGGTGAGGAAAGCAAGTGCCCCTCTGCCCCGAGCCAGCTGCCGGAGCCGCGGGACCCCCCATCCCCCGGGACCCCAGCTC